AAGAGTGATAGATGCCAAGAGGAGAAAATGTTTCAAGAAAAAGGAGAAATCAACTATGTCCAGTACTGTGTATAGGCAGATTGAGAACTGATCATTGGGTTTAGTAATGGAGAGGTCATTGATGAGCAGTATCAATGAAGTGGTGGACAAAAGACCAAACAGAGTAGCCTTGAAAGAGAACGCAGGGGTTCTGAGTTCTGGCTGAAAGGGCATATGAGGTTAAGGTTTTTATTAAGGTGGAGGATCTAAAAGCATTTCTTTACTGATGAGAATGATCCAGGAGAGAGGAAGATAAATGATAATGGAAGAGTGAGGGACAATGGATAGATCGAGGAGAGATGGGGGTCCCATGTGTAAGTGGAGGGATGGTCTTGCCTTGGATGGGAGGGAGAACAATTCATTCATAGTAACAGTAGTGAAAGCAGATTAGATGTGTTCATATTGGAGGTTGGGGGGTGGCTGGGACCATGTAGACATTCTCTTCTTCTTGCCCCTCCTTCTCAATGAAATAAGAAGCAAGGACAGCAGCTGACAGTGAGGAAGGGGTAGGAGGGGTGGGAGATTTGAGCAGAGGGTAGGTATGAAATAGTCACTGAGAAGAGTGGGAGAGTGAATGAACCAGGGAAATACATAGGGTTCTTGGGCAGAACCAAGGGCTCTTTTTTTTTTTTTTTTTTTTTTTTTTTTTTTTGCGGTACACAGGCCTCTCACTGTTGTGGCCTCTCCCGTTGCGGAGCACAGGCTCCGGACGCGCAGGCTCAGCGGCCATGGCTCACGGGCCCAGCCGCTCCGCGGCATGTGGGATCCTCCCGGACTGGGGCACGAACCCATGTTCCCTGCATCGGCACGCGGACTCTCAACCACTGCGCCACCAGGGAAGCCCCCCAAGGGCTCTTTTGATATTATAGTAGTCAGTTGGTGATGGTTGGATTGATTTAAAGTGAGACCGGAACAGAGTTGTGCATTTTTTTCCAGTGACGTTAACTTGCCTTGTTTCACCTACAGAATAGGCAGAGAGTTATATTGAACTAGATGAATGCAGATAGAGGGAGACAGTGGACCAGGGCAGCTGAGGGCATATGCAAAGGAGTGCTGGGCTATAGGCACTCAGCTGGGGAAGGAGGGGAGTGAGGACTGGAGGAGGAGGAGGACAGTAAAATGGCAGAGTATAGTCCATGGCTTGGACGTCCCAGTAGAGAAAGAACACCTACGGGGTGAACTGGAAAGATATAAAGCGGTGATTGGAAAGTGGAGCGCTTGAAATGTGGGTTATGGAGTGAGTACAGTTATTGGCAATATCTAGGCATGGGGCCATGATTCTCATCTCTGTCCGTACATTAGACTGGGAAGGATGCTTTAAAAATATGATGCTTGGGTCCCACCCCACCCATTAGCTTGGGATGGGGATTGGACATCAGTATTTATTTTCATTTTAAGCTTCCCAGATGATTCTAATATGCAGGCAGAGTTGGGAGCTCTTTGTCTAGGATTGGGTGGCTGAGATGGAGTGGAGGATAAGGTCGTTGGAAGAAAGGAGGTCCGGGAACAGAGAGGTCAGCGTATTGCAAGGGTCGTTTTCGGTGTTCACACCAAGAATTATGCCAGGAGTTGAGAATAAAGTCCAAGTTCCTTAACATATCAGCTTTGCAGAGGCAGGGATTTTTGTCTTTTCTGTTCACTGCTGTATCCCCAGGGCTTAGAACACAGCCTGGCACATCATAGGTACTCAGTATAAATTTGTTGAATAAATGCATGAATTTGACCTTTCCTTGCCCTTTCCTTGGCTTCATTCCTCATCCCTCTCCACCCCACTTAATATTTCATATTCTCATTTACCTCTGTGCCTAAGCATGTGTTGTTCCCCTGCCTGAGATACCTTTCTCTTTCTCAAACTCCTAGTGAACTCCTATTCATCCTTTAAAACCTTGCTCAAAGGTCATCTCTCCTGTGAAATCTTCTCTGAACTCCGGGAGAGAATTCATTACTTTATTTTCTACATTTCTTCATCACTTTGAACTTTGCATGTGTTATATTATATTGTATGAATTTGTTTCCATGTCTTTCTCTCCTGCTAGACTTAACTTCTTGAGGGAAGAAACAGGTATCTCGGTAAAGATGCACCTTGACACAGTGCCTCGCATGTAATAGGCATTCAGGTGAACTGTTTTTTTTTGGAGCAATCAGATCATAAGAGAGGAAGGAAAGTGTTGCGATAATTCATACTTTTCTGATGGAAAAATAGTTAACAGTTGTTTTTTTCCAAGGATTAACACTGGACCCATTTTACTGAATGTGTTTATAGTTGGGAGGAAGGTGATAGTACAATGTCAGGCTGATGGGGATAAATGACGGGAAGAGTCCACAGTGCCAGAGGAGTGAGCAGGAAACTGGCATCTCAGCACCAGTGTGATCAGTGAGAAATAAATAATCCAACATATATATGCAGTGTTGAGCCATGAGCTGCTGTTTTTATCCTGGGAAACAGATTTTGGAGTCACTATAGATTATGCAAAATGTTAAGCATTATCAGGATGGGAACTAGAAACTAAAGAGAATAATCTTCACCTGTACATAGAATGATGTTGGGTTCTCACTTGACATTCAGTTTGCCATACTTTTGGCAGCACCTCAGGAAAGGTAAAGCCCTATTAGGTGTCCTGAGAAGGTCCCAAAGAAAAAACTCCCGTGTTGAGAGAGACCACAAGAGCCTGGCCAGCTTAATCAGAAAAGAAACACCGAGGTGATGATGATGTGACAAAAATGGTTAACATTTATGAGAGCTTACTGTATGCCAGCTGCTGTGCTTTAGGCATTACCTCATTTCATTCTTACCAGAATCCTATGAGGTGGGAACTATTATCATCCCTATGTTACAGATGAGTAAAGCACAGAGAAGTTAAGTGAGATGTGCAAGGTCACACAGCTGGTAAGTGGTAGAGCCAGGACTTGAACTCAGGTTTCTGTGCCTGGAAAGCTTGAGTTACTAGTGCCTCCACATATAATATGATGTGATCAAAGTCTGTAAAATTCTGAAGGGCATGGATAGAGGAGACAAATCTTGGAATACTACAATAAGGGTAACTCAGGAAACTTGAAAGGAACAGTTTTTATACATGTGGGTGATAATCATGTTGTCACCTTAACGGGTGTATGAGCAAGGTGGGAAAAAAAGAGTTCTAAAAAACTTAAGTGAATTTTTAAGCTATTTGATGATTTCAGATATATAGAGTTAATATGAACTCCAAACAATGTAGGGCCTGCATTATGGCAAACCACTTCTACACATGCCTGGAAGCTATTATTAGGAGCTGCTGTCAAAGAAAGCATGAATCCTGACCCAGTGGTCTGTTCCATCATAATAGTTTTTTCAAACTTTTGAGGGTCATGAAATCAACTCAGGAGGTTTGTATTAGCCAGCTCAGGCAACCGTAACAGAATACCACAGACTAAGCAGTTTAAACAACAGAAATTTACTGTCTCACAGTTTTGGAGGTGCAGAGTCCAAGAGCAGGTTGCCAGCAGGGTTGGTGTCTGGTGAGAGCTCTCTTTCTGGCTTGCAGACGACTGCCTTCTTGCTGGTCCTCACATGACCTTTCCTCTGTGCAAGAGTAGGGAGAGAAAGCCATCTCTGGCATAGTTCCCTCTTCTTATAAGGACACCAGTCCTACCAGATTCTAGCTCTACCCTTACGACCTCATTTAACATGAATTACCTCCTTAAAGGCCCTGTCTTCACATATAGTCGAGTTGGAGGTTATGGCTTCAGTGTATGAATTTGAGGGGGATGAAATTCAGCCTAGAACAGGGTCTCAGTCATTATTGTCCTAAAATGAAATCAAAGAGAATAGACATTATCAGAGTGAGTATTATTTTGGGAAGCTTTTCAAGTTGTCCACGTGAAGATATATGTGTTCTAAGGTTGTAATATAAGCTGTGTTTTCTAACTGTGAGCCACAGAGAAGTTTCAAAGCTGAGGCCTTACGGCATTCC